GTGTCATTAAGTCGTTCTTTTATTTCTACATATCTTTCTGTTGTAGCAGTCCATAAAACAACTATTTTATCAAGTCCATGTTGTGCTTTAAAATCTCTAATATTTTGTCTTACTGTATCAAGATGATTTTGTTTAGTTCCTGGAATAACATTATCAGCTCTATCATCTTGATTTGCTGCTATGTATGATTTATAATAAATTGATGGTAATGGAACTAATTCTTTCATATATGGATATAATTGTCTTTGAAGATCATAATCAACTACTTGTGCTCTTTTAAGTGCATCTGCCATATTTACTTTTGAAATATCCCATCCTCCTACAACAATATTATCTGGACAAACAAATGGTAAAATATCTTTATATGGTGCATAAATTTCTTCTCCTTCAGATGTAGCTCCAAGTCTCATTGTAGCTGATTGAGTATATGATCCATAATAATTTGGTTCATGAACTCCTCTTCTATCAGTCCAACAAAGATGGTGTTTATTCGCAAGAATTCCTGCAGTAACAGTAGTTCCATTATTTCCTCCCCATCCAATCATCATAAGACCCATCTTTGGAATCTTTTTATCTACTTTAAATTTGTAGTCTTTAGCAATTGGAGTACAAATAACTCCTTCTTTACTTACTTCTACATGTGTAGTTTCATAATGAAAGTCAGCTTCAATACTACTTTCTGTTTGATGGCTTTTAGTAGAATGGAATTGATATGACATTTATCGAATGTTTATTTTATTGAAATTTCAGTTTATATATCTCTGTATCACTTCCAGAGATCTCTTCTTTTTCTTCTCTTCTCTTCCAGCTCCTTCTTCCCTACTGAAGTCACTTTTCATCTTCATTTGTTGTGCCATCCACTACCTTTTTTTATTTCTCATATTTTTATCTTATAATACAGTACTTTTTTGATTTTTTCTCTTATTTTTTTCATTTTTTATCTTAGTTCAATTGCGATAGATAAACAGATATTTTCTGCTTCAAATCTTATTGATTCAAAAATCTTCTAGTTGTAGTTTACTCTTTCTTTTAACTTTTTTTACTAAGTTTTATCTTTATTTCTGAAGTGCTTATTTACAACCCTCACAAAAATTCGTTGCTATTTTTTTCTTTGTTGGATTTGTCATTTTGATTATTATTTTATACTTGATAGTTTTTTTTAATTATAAATACTATACATTGTTAATTCTTTCCATCTTTCGTTTTTGGTGCTTTATTTGGAACTCATCAAAATCTTACTTTATTTTCTACTATTATTTCAGGAGTTCAACGTTTTGCTAAATACAGGTTTTTCTATTGACTTCTTGTCGTCACGTTTATTCCTTTTTTTGTTGTTAAAATTTGAAAAATAAAAAAAATATTACACCCATTTTATTCTTTCATAGCCCATTTGGACTAACTTACTTTTTTTCCCTTTTAAATAATATTGTTTGTCTTTTTATTTTATACAAAATAATTAATTAAAATAAGATAAACAGCCATAGCATAACTGGTAATATAAGAACTTTTATTGAAAAGTTTTCACATTTTGCTTGATAATCTTCTCCGTCATAATCCCATTTCGAACATTTATCACATTCAAATGATGTTGTACTTATAAAATGTTCACAATTATCATAAGATAAAGATATTCCAATTCCATTTGTTAATTTCTTCACTGAAAACCATACATTTTCCCCAGCAAAAATACAAACATTTTCCCTTCTAAAATATACTGGAATTGCTTCTGGATTTTTTCCACATAATTGAATACCACCAACTTGTTCGGGATACTCTTCAAATCTTCTAAAATCACGAGATAATGTGTATTTATTTGTCGCTTCACTACAGTCACTATTTTTATAAATCGTTGAATCAATTTTATTTCCATTTTCTTTTACATACAAATAAAAGGTTTGTTCTGGAGATTCTATTGGATTCATTGAATAACACTGTCTCATATGGGCTAAATAATAAACGTCATTTGTTGTTGATAAATCATAAAATCCATATAACTTCTTCGAGAAAACTCCTGTTAATAAGAATATTATATAGATAATCATCTCTCAGGAAAATATTTAATTAATTTATTATTATTTTTTTTATTTCTTTTTATTTTTTTAAAAAAGAAATATTATTATATTATTTTATTAACTTTTTACTTTTAAATTAATAAAATGTTATAATAGTTTTTGGTTATTATATCACTAAAATGATGTTTCTGAACTTGAAAATTTTTATTAATGACTAACATCTATCAATTAACTCATTACAAAGTTAATGAATTTGTAAAAAAATTAAATAACGTTTTGTGTGATTAAAACAAAAAGAAGAGACTATCTTCCTCTTAAAAAAAGTATTAAGAGTTTCCAATGAGTTAAAGAAATTCAAGGTTTTGTGTAGAGTCATTTGAAAAATAAGACTTAAATTCACAGATATAGGATTTATTATTTGAAATAATCAAAGTAATAGATGTAATTGAGATAAAATTTCTAATTTACATAATCATAGTTGAAATAGTCTTTGTAGTAATTCTTTTTTGTGTCTTTGTAATAACTAAATTTTTATTTGTTGAATCTTACCAAGTCTTCTTTTTATTACTGAAAAGGCAATCACGAAGGTTGATAGTATTTAAATTGTATTTACCATAGAAGAAAAGTATATGCAGATGAACAATTTAATTAATTATAACTCTAGTCCTCTTAAAACAATGAAAAAGGTAAAGGTAGATTTAAAATCATTTGAAGTTGGAGAATGTTCAATGCTTCTTAGTCTTCTTGGAGAAGAAGAAAATAAAAATACTTTTGCTTCTAATATTCCTCCAGAACAAAATAATGAGAAAAAATATTCGGCTAGTGATAAAAGAAAAGACATTGCAGATATTAATCGAAGGTATACTTTTAGATTAAAAGCATTGAATGTTGCACTTAACACTACATTTAGAGAATGGAAAGACTTGGAGAGTAGAGGGTTTGACACAAAAGAAGTTCAGTCTAGATGGTCTATTCTTAATGAAGAATATAGAATAAGTAAAAGAAGGGCATCATTAGAGATTTATGAATTAGTTCAACCATTGTATAGAAAAGCATACGGAAACGATGGTGTTCATGACCTTCATGGTCAAGGGATTAAAAGTGGAAGTTTGGTTTTTATTGTTTCTACTATTCTTGACAATGAAAAAAACTTTATAGACCCAAAGAACAAAAACATAGTTTTTGATATTGGAGATGAAAATGATGGTGAATGGCATATGCAAGCTGTTTGTGCTATCACTGTATGGTTAAAAGAAAGAAATTATAACTTCTGGATGAATGAGACAAAGAGATTTGTATTTGTCAAGATTAATTAAATAAAGTTTTGTTATTATGAAATATCTATTTTTATTAAAAATGGTGATAGAGAAAGTTAAATTTTAGTATTACTTTTCATATGAATTATTAGATATATAACTCCTAATATAACACTCTTATTAGAATAAAATTTATCATTACCATTAAATTAAAAAGGAGTAATGAGAAATAACAAATATATAAGGTGGGGTACAGGAATAATTATCAACAATTTTAATAACCATTATCTGTAATATAATTCCAAATCTCATTGTGTTATTAATTGTAAAAGTTGTAAAAAATTAAATATATTAATTTATTGATAAGTTGTTAAAAAAATTATATACATTTTGTTTTGTATTTATTTAATGAATAACGTTTAATTCATTCTTTCAGTAATATTATATTATTGATATTATTAATATTTATTTTTATCACAAATATATTTGGATAATAAGTTTTGTATTTTCTTCTATTCAGTAAAAAAATGATAAAACAAAAAATATCTGATTAGTTTAATTCATTAATCAATTCAAGTTTATAATTACTTGAATTGAATAGTACTAATTTCTTCTTTTTTATGTATTTTAATTAGTATTATTCATGAATAGTTTGTATTTATTGTTTCTCTTTTTATTTTATTTCTTTTTGTATTACTTCAAAGATCTTTTTCCAATGCAGGAAATACATCAAATTTTAATGCAATGAATATTGTGTAATATCAATGTGTGTTGTAAAGAAAACCACACAATTCATAGAAATCCAAGGTCATACAATAAAAAAGAAATGTCAATAGCAATAAATGGCAAAGAAATAATAATAATGGTAAACAATATACCAATGAAAAATGAGTAGAAAGAAGAAAGATACAAAGAAGAACGAATAAGAAATAAGATAAATACAATAATAATAAAGATTATACAAATAAAAAATACAAATGAATAACAATAAATAATATACAAGAAAGAATAAAAGAATAAGAAGTGAATGGAATAAAGAAGAATATGAAGAAATACTCAAAAAATGAAGGTAAAATGAAAAGATTATATAATATTCTTCAAAAAGTATATTCAATCAAAAAGAAAAAGATAATTAAAAAACTAAAGAAGAAAATAAAGAAAGAACAAAAGATATTGAAGAAAAGACATTAAAACAAATGAAGAAGAAGTTAAAAACAAAAGAGCACGAAAATAATCAAAGAAAAAAATGCATCTAAATAATTTACAAAAAAGAAAAAAGATGCAAAAAAATTTGCATCCATAGATTTTTCCATTTATTATATTTTGCTCCTAAAAAAGTATGATAAATACAGAATATATAAATATTTATGTTTATATTTTATTATCATTTGTAGAACTCTGTATGAAATATTAATGAAATAGATTATTTGATTATTCATAATTATTTTTATTCTTTTATTTATATGTTATTTATCTATCGTATTTTTATATATTTATTTCTCTGTTTATATTAGTTATATCATTGTGTTATTCTTATTATCTCTATATTATTATATTATTCTTATTTGTTTATTTTTATGTTTATATTATTTAGATTTTCTTATTGTTATTCTTTTATATTTATTTGTATTTGTTTATTCATCTTTATCATCTTTTATATTATTATCATTTATATCTATTTTCATTTCATATTTATTCTCTTTTGATTTATATTAATATTAATTTTATCTTTTATACTTTTTATTTTGATTTTATTATTATATCATTGATTATCATTTCTCCTTTTATTTATCATTTATTCTTATTATTCTTTTGTTTTTATATTCTATATCATATATTCATATCATTTTCATTTATATTTTATCATTTATTATATGTTATAATAACATAACACATATGATTGATTATATAATAAACATCATGATGAAATTATACATATAAATAATAAACATAAAGAGAGTAAAATATTTTTCATTAATAAAATATTGTTAATCATTTTACATCATTAAATTAGACACTTTTATTGAATATTTCTAATTTTTACAATAGAAATACACTTTTTATTTCTTATTTTATTATTTTATTACATCTTTGTGATTTATTATTTTTATATTCTTCTTCTACTTTATTTTTATTCTTTTATATATTTATATTCTTTTTATATTATTTGTTTTTCATTGTTTTTCTATTTCTTTCTTCTATTATTTATCAATTTTATATTCATTTATTCATTCTTTTTATTTCTTTTTTATTAATTCTTGAGTATTGTATATTTCTTTATTATTTCATTCATATATTATCAAAATATATGTTTTATTGATTTTATGTTGAACAAAATATTAAATAATTCAATATTTTCAATGTTAAATATTCATTCTTTATTCTGAAATGTTGTTTGTGTTTATTATATTAAATTAATATGATGAATGAATATCAATATTATTGTTTATT